TCGCTTTTTTGAAAATTAGTCGCTGGAGGGGTCTGAAAAGGCGCTGAGTTGGCAACACTGCAACTGCGGCGCTGACTCGCTCTGCCGTATTTTTTTTTCTTCCCCGGGATGACGGCGGCGGCGGATGACGCATTAATCGCGCGACACAACTAATCGATGATTAAATTCGTTGCCAACGCTTTTAAAAGTCGATTTTTATCAATTTTATCGATTCGTTGTTGCAGCCCTAGTGGGTATCACACGCCACAGTTGTTTGATATCCAAGCAGCAAGGGCAAGAAAGGTGTCTAACCTCACTCTAAAAACACCATAAAGGAAACCTACTGTTTATGCAGCCTATAGAACGAAAGGCAGATAAAAAGTTGGGAAAGAATCAGATAGATTAACTTGTGATAAATGGGATCCACAATAGAGAGGTTTGGAGAGATTAGGTGCCTGCGTGGATGCACGATCAAAATGCTGCAAACGTATCGGATCAGAATAAATATTGCAATTTCTGGCCAAAGATCTATCCAACACACCTTTGTTGAATTTGCAGAGTCCTTACAGATGAAGACCGCAAATCCCTGTAAAACCTGAGGTGTTGCTGAAATCCAAAAATTAGGAATACGGTACTTTAAATTGTTAATTGTCATTGGGCATATTCATGAAGTTACCTGTGATATCATATTCCATTCTGTTTCTTCAGTGGGAGCCACATCATTGGGTTTGCACCCAGAGCAATTTCAAACCATTCAAGCTTTTAAACCTGCTGGCAATTTGATTGTATTTTAAATTCTCACTTTTTACTTTGAGCTTTACTGGCACAATTAGAATAAAAATGTTTAGCTAGATCATCAAAAAATGCCAGTAGTGGGGAAATGTGTTTTGAAACTTGCGTCGTAACATTCTGTGTGTCTCTAAAAATCAATTAAATAAAAAGGAAGAAATGGGGACCAGCGAGGTAAACCTATCTAGACATTGCAGGTAGCATCACCTGAGTCAATTTACCTGTGAACTTATCTTTACGGTTTACAATCTTGAACAGATCTGTGTTTTGGACAGCAGACCTAGATCAACTGTAGGGTAAAATTATAAATAAAAAGGCAAACAGAACTTTGTTCTATCAATCAGCATACACCTCATAAAATCTCCCTGTTCAACATGTTGATTGTAAACAGATTGTAAACAGTGAGTCTCCAGTGCTTTTTGAACGCTTATGAATGGCATTTTGCCATTTTTTTCCCCCTAAAATATCACACATATCCAGATCGTATATTAACTAAATAACGACTCAGAATTTCAATCTTTCCGTACATTTTGCTTTGTTCTTGCGATTCGTATCATCGGAGATGATGATCTGACGATGACCTGAACAGTTCTCTTGAGAACAGAAAGGGAAAATATGCATTTCCCTCATGTTTTAATCAAAAGACATCAAACAGGATGGTAAGAACCTGGTTACAAATTTTCTTAGGTGTGCAGTACAGAAATGTTGTCTGTACAGACGCTGTACGGAAGGGCATAAAAGCCAAAAATTATTTAATTAGGTTGCATAAACCAAGCATTAAGACCCCTGCTACCCAGAGAGGCAGAAGTTTTAAAGCTTAAATTACAACTACTTTAAATCTTCTGGTTATGGAGTCCTGAAGTATTAATACTGGAGATTTAAAACCTTCATGTTAAAAGGAATAATATCAAACTCTATAAATCTATTGAAATTATAGCAATCATTTATTTTAAGAAATGGGTGAAGGTTGTTGATCCAGTTTCTGCCAGGGGTCACTCTTTCCTTTAAAGGTTTCATTTACTAATTGCTATACATTTAATATGCACCTACTACCAGCCAAACACAGTTTAGTTCATCATTAGAGCTGCCACTGACTATTTTTCTAACAACTAATCTTTGGACAAGTTTTTTGTTTAGTCGACCAATCTTAAGGACTAATTGGACTGCTGGAGGTTGGCAGAATAGCAGCGGGACGTGACGCCAAGTTAATAGAAAGTTCATTCATACTGTATCTGTGTGCTCATTCGATAAGCCATCTCAATAGCACAAAAATTACTATAAATGTGAGTGCATTGGGTCACACATTGCTCATAAAAAAATTTGTTAGTAATCCTAATGTTACTTACGTTGTCTTTTCCTTTTCAGAAGCATCCTCATGTTAAATGAGGAAGTTATGTCCCCTAAAAAGCAGTTGCGCCTTGAGACTTCCCCACCAGTTCTTTACCTAGGAGCAAGTTATTTACTACTCTTAACTCAAACTGGGTAAAACCATATAAAAAAGGACTATAAAAACAGGAGTAAAAAAGTAACAGCGTTTATTCCAGATCAGGTCGTTACAGGACAGAGAAAATGCTTGGAGCCGGCACAGCTGTGGGCTCAAAAAACGTCAGCGAGCGTCCGGCAAAGTTTGAGCCCCGAACAAGGTCATCTTCTCCTTCTTATACCTCATGAGCCCATGTGGTGGATCATGTGGATGTTTATCTATCCGTATCAGAAACTGACACGCCATTCATGCCCTGACCTGTATGCATCTTGCCTCTATGCCTAAGAATTACAGATAGCTCCCCTTTATCAGACCGGCTCCAAGATGTGCCCATATCCTGTGTATTTCTAAAGACAAAGGCTGTCCTGATTAGATGACCTCCGTACACACAGTGACATCAGCAATGTGAAGGAAGGCCTTCTACTCTGTATACTGTCTAATCTGGCTAACAGAATAACAATGCACATGATGTATAAAGAATAAACCTAACACTCAACAACTCCTGTGTGTTTCCTTTTAAGGTGGTTGTGCTCCCTTGATAGCCAACAAACACAGAGTGTACAAAGCAATCTATTACCAACTGTCTGAAAGTATTCTCATACTTTGGATACTTTTAATAATCTAGCAGATGCCTCCATCTTCGATTCAGACTCACCTGCCACTAATTTTTGTATCATGTTTAAAATAGGGCTGCAACAACGAATCGATAAAATCGATAAAAATCGACTTTTAAAAGCGCTGGCAACAAATTTAATCATCGATTAGTTGTGTCGCGCGATTAATGCGTCATCCGCCGCCGCCGTCATCC